AGCCTTTGGTATGGATTTACATCTCAATGTAAAGAAAACAAAAATACTCACCACTGGACCAATTAACAACATTCTTATCAATGGTGAAAAAATTGAAGTTGTCAAGGACTTCATTCTTCTTGGATCAACTATCAACACTCATGGAAACAGCAGTCAAGAAATCAAAGGACGTATTCCATTAGGCAAATCTGAGGTACAAGACCTCTTTATAGTGTTGAAAAGCAAAGATGTCAGCTTGAGGACTAATGTGCGCCTGACCCAAACCATGGTATTTTCAATAACCGCATATGCATGCGAAAGCTGGACAGTGAATAAGGAAGTCCGTAGAAGGATTGATGCTTTTGAGTTATGGTGTTGGAGAAGAATATTGAAAGTGTCAGGGGCTGCCAAAAGAACCAATAGTTTCGTTTTGGAAGAGTGGAGCCAGAGTGCTCCTTGGAGGCCAAGATGGCCAAACTTTGTTTCTCATACTTAAGACATATTATCAGGAGGGAGGAACCAGTCACTGGAGAAGGATATCATGTTTAGTAAAGTGGAGGGTCAGAGAAAAAGAGGAAGACCCCAATGAGATGGATTGGCCAAGTGTCATCATCAATGGACTGTAGTGTGGCAACAATAGTGATGTTGGCCCTGGATTGGGCAGTGTTTCGTTCTGCTGTGCATAAGGTCACTGTGAGTTGGTATCGACTCGATGGCACCTAACAACAACAACAAGAAGTGGCTGTCCATTCAGAAGTAGTCTGCCTCTCCTTCTTTTTAATGTGTCATAGTCTGGAAACTCCACTGCAACCTGTCCACGGTGGGTGACCCTGCTGGTATTTAAATATTGGTAGCATAGCGTCCATCATCACAGTAACACACAAGCTGCCACCACAGTATTACAGACTGACAGATGAATGGTGGTAGTGTTAAAGTTGAGAAGGAAAAAGTTTAATGAATCAGCCTTGATTAAGAAGTAATTGAGTGGTAGTATTTTGCTTGCCCTATGATGTGTAAATTAGATTTATTTTTCGAAGTAACTTTGTTAGAACAGTACAAGCTTTTATTGTTTGACTATATTCTTTTTACTCAACCAGGATGTAGATATGATGGATCAGAATGGAATGACACCCTTAATGTGGGCAGCTTATAGAACACATAGGTACGTAACCATTATGGATTAATTCTGATTATTTTTACTTATAAGTGGAAATCAAGTTTCTAGAAAAACTGGTTAATGTTACACTAATGTTTACAGGTTTTATTATGAATATTTGTTAGATACCATACATTTTTGTGGGAGAAAGATGAGGCTTTCTACTCATATGAAGGTTTTAAGCCTCAAAAACCGTATACAGGGTAGCTTTGAGTCAGAATCGACTCAGTGGCATTTAACAACAACAACAACATACATTACCTTTTTGATTGCTCTATGTCTCTAACCCTATTTAATAAGTTTAGTATCATCTGTCTGTTCCTCTTAACAATTTCTGTAGCTGGAAGATAAGTTTTTTTCTTTTTTAAAAAATATTTCCACATGATTTGCATATTGTAAAATATAACATTAATTGATAAATTGTCTCAAATAATTTTGGAACATGCTAGATTTAAATCAAAATTTTCGGATTACTTACTTGTATAGGAATCAGTAAGGAGCTCTGGTAGCATAGTGGATTATGAGCTGGGCTACTACGGCAAGGTCTAATCTATCAGTCATTCCTCGGGAAAAAGATGAGACTTTGTGCTCCTATAAAGATTACAGCCTTGGAAACCCCATGAGGGTCACTATGAGTAGCAAGTAACTGGACAGCACACCCCCACCACCATCATCATTGAAATCAGTGACACTGATATGCAGATCAAAAAGTAGAAACTGCTAGTGCCAAGTATGCTATCCCTTGGAACTTATATGACCTTGTATAATGTTGTACATATTGTATACTTCATCTTAGAATATTTTCTCAATACTAAGTGTAATGTTCATTATTAGGTTAGCATAGATGGAGTGTAAGTGTAGCCACAATTGGTTTAGTATCTTTAATGATTTCTATAATTGAAATTAGGGTTGTTGTTGTTGTGTTTTTTTTTTTTCCTTTTCAGTGTGGATCCAACTAGATTGCTTTTAACATTCAATGTTTCAGTTAACCTTGGTGACAAGTATCACAAAAACACTGCTCTGCATTGGGCAGTGCTAGCTGGGAATACCACAGTCATTAGTCTTCTTCTGGAAGCTGGAGCTAATGTGGATGCCCAAAATATTAAGGTAAAAATATCCATTTTGATCATGGGAAGTGTGGTTACTGATGTATGAATTCCTCAATAAAACATAGATGTTTCATAAGCTTTCATAGTTGGAAGAAATATCATACTTAAGCTTAACTATTTGCTCCCATTCAAGAATTATTTTTGAAAGACCCGATTTTTACACTGAAGTAGTTTTTAGGTTCTGGTAACCTTTTATTACTTAATTCTTACTGAGTTTTGTAAACTAAATTATATAATCTATTTTTGTAGGTATAGGGTTTCTTCAATAATACCCTTACAGAGTCACAAGTTGAACTTACTTTTAGGTAAACCCATTGTGAATAATATATTTTAGTTAGTTCTTTGATTTGGTCATTTTATTGTCTTAGGTTTTTTAAAGTTAAAGATTTTAAAATTTGATAAAAACCTCTATGATTTTGAAAAATTTTCCACTAAATTCTGGACTAATGCAGGAAAAGTAGACAAATTTATTTAAAAGCAAAGCACAGTTATCATTTATATTCTGAGCATTTAGAAATTTGTATAGCCATGGTATTAGTGTAGTTTTCCAGATACGTTCCAAGAATCCCCATGGATACCAAAATTCTTGGATGCTCAAGTTCCTTATGTAAACTGGCATTAGTATTTGCATATGACTTATACACATTATCACAAATCATCTTTAGAGTAGTACTTACAATACCTAATACAATGTAAATGCTGTTCAAATGGCACTTTTGCTCTCTGTTAGCCTTTGAGGAATTGCTTTGACCACTTAATTGCTTCTTAGGAACCATTTTTTTCTCCAAAATATTTTTGATCCACAGTTGTTTGACTCTGCAGATGCAGAGTCCATGGATATGGAGGGATGACTGTACCTTAAGAAGAATCTATTGGTAGTCTCAAATTTTGGTTAACCATTCTCATTTTTAAAGTTTCAGGATGTGCCATGCTTTTCAGCAACAAATATTAAAAGAATATTTCTGAGAAATGACAAAGTTTTAACATCATCTTTTCCTAATGTGTATTCATAGGATAACTTTGTACCCATTGAAAAGTATTTTTTATTTTTGACTATATAATCCATAGTATTTTGAGTCATGGTTCTTAAATTTATAAGGCATATGTGCTAAGTAAATATGAATAATCTGTTATGGCCAATCAAAACGTAGGTTATTACCTGCTGGATCAGGGCATCTCTTATGTTTCAGTATGCATTCTTTTTCAATTTGGTTATTTTAAGAAGAGAAGGTAAAACTACATAAAGAAGGATAAGTTAGACTTATCTGGAGGGTAATTTAAGATTATAGTCCATCTTTAGAAATGACTAATTATAAATACTGTAATTAAAAGGAAATAGTTGCAAAATTTTAAGAAATTGGGAAACCATATTTTTCTTTCTTTTATTTTTAAACATTTAAGCCATCGTGTCCCTACTCAAGTTGATCAGCATATTTTCCAGTAGACATAGGGAAAGAAGATAGTGCCTGACATGTTTTGGGCGCTAAATAAGTATTTGTTGATTGAATGAAAATATTCATAGTTTTAACTTTATTTAAGCTAGTTTCCATGACTCAGCTACTGTACTTCTCTGTAGGAGGAAATTTTTGCTTTACCAAAGATTTTTAAATAGGATGCTTTGAAAAGTTCACAATACTGGAATTACTAGATAAGGATAATTCCTAAACCCTAACATATAAGGTAAGGGACAGTTTCACTGAAGCAGAGCAATATTTGCATAAGAAAAAATTGTCTTTGCCCATAAAGATTTCTAGCCTCTGAAACTATATACAAGGTTGCTGAGTCAGACCCGACTCCACGGCACACCACCACCACCACCACCACCAGGGAGTTAGCAATGCTCAAGACAGATTGGTCCATATTCTCTCAAAACTTAACTGAGGAAGTAACAATAACTAAAAGAATGAAAAAACAAAACAGAAATCCAGAGGCAAATGTGATAGAACGATGAGAGCTGAAAGACTACCTCAGGTGAGAATGATTTGGGAACCTCTCTGAGGAAGTTGACATTTGCTACAAGACTTGTATAAGATATGTGGGAAGAATTTTTCACATGGAGGGAAACTGAGGTTGCAAGATCGTAGGTTCTATCAAGCCTATCATGTTTGAGAATAGAAATAAAGACCTGGAGTGCAGTAGGCAAGGATGTGAAATCATTGAGAGAAGCGGATGCTAGATCATGTAAGGCTATGATTGTTGTAACTCATAGCACCCCTGGATAGGGTTTCCAGGGAGTGGCTAGTGGGTTGGAATCACTTACCTTGTGGTTTAGTAGCCCAGTGTTTATTCTACGGTGCCACACCAGGACTCCATGATACGATCAGTAACTTTAATTGTATTCTTATTTATAGAAAAAAGGATTTATTTAGGCTAGCTCTGTGATTGCTTTTTGTTTTAAATATTTTTAAAAACATTAGTTTGGTTGTTGTATAGAGAATACATTGAAAATAGAATATAAAGAAATGGAGATTAATTAGGCAATTGTACAAAATCAGGCAAGTGATATTTAAATAAGACTAATAAGATAGTATGAGTAAATATGGATAGAAATCAATGGGTTTGAGATGATATTTTAGAGTAGAAATGAATATGCAGATTAGATATGGGGTGAAAGAAACCATCCATGATGATTTTGGGTTTTGGTTTTAATAACTGAATGGCTTGTGTGATACCATATGAGAGTTTGTGAATACAGAAGGAGAAATACATTTTTGGGGGGAAGGTGACAGGAATGGTTTTGTTTTGGGCATATTTAATTTGAAGTTTTATTTGTTTTTCCTTTTCAACTACATGGAATATCAAGATTATAAAGTAAACTTAAATAACTGCAAATTTTCAAAGGGGGAAGCATTTTTTTTTAAAAAAAAAAAGCCCAAAGATTTAGATTCATTGTCCAAGAATTTGACCAATAAAACTAATTTACACTTGTACATTTTTCTATTTTTTCATTTTAAGCCCTAGACAAGAAAAAAACAAAACAAGAAACCCTGATTCTTATCCCTGGCAATTCCATGTGTTAGTTATAGTTTGTGTTGTACTAGTTATGTAACCATTGTTGTTTTTGTTAGCTGCTGATTCTAACTGATGGCTACCCCCTGTGTGCAGTGTAGAACTCCATAGAGTTTTCATGGCTGCAAGCTTTCAAAAACAGATCTACAGACTTGTCTTCCTATTAGTTGTACCTATTCCTTCTAAAATAACTATTTTCTAAATAAAATTAAATTTAAGTTTCTTAGAAGTCTGTCTTGATATTAACTAGAGATTTACTCTCATAAATTAGTTACCCAAGTAAGGAATTATATTTTTATACTTTATAACCAAGTATTTTTGTCAAAATGTGATAGAACATGTTTTTGAAGACAGTTGGCATTTAGTCATAATAACTTTAAGATGACTATTTTGATCTTTAGAAGGATCCACACCAGTTACCCTTGAATCCATCTTATGATAACTCCATATGTGTCAGAGTAGAACTGTCATGTGTGTCACTAAAACTGTGTTCTATACGGTTTTGGGTTTCTCCTTTTTCGGAAGTGGTTTGCCAGGCCTTACTTTAAGTAGCCTCTAGGTGGACTCAAATCTCTAACCTTTCTTTTGTTTTGCAACTGAGCCCATTAACTGTTTGTTACCACACAGGAATTCCTTTAAAGGGTCAGAAATTGCCATGTACCCAAGATTGTTGTTTTTAAGTGCCGTAGAGTTGGTTCCAATTCATAGCTGCCATTTGTAGGGTTTCTAAGGAGTGGCTGGTGTGTTTGATCTTATGGTTAGCAGTGAAGTGCTTATCTTACAGTGTCGCACCATGACTCCATAGTTTAGAAGTTCTAAAACTGGGCTCTACTAGTGGATTTTGGGTCATAGCGTAGGTGTAGAAACCCCTGAAATAGTTTTTTTAAAGTTGTATATATTGTCACTTTTCTGTGTGAGATGATCAGTGGCTTTTATCAGATATGACTCAAATGAATAAAGACCACTACCCTAAATAATAAGTACATTAAAAAGTCTAAACCTTTTTGTTGTTGTTAAGTAACAACAATAGAAAAAATAGTTATTTGGAATATTAAGGGAAAAAGAATAAAATTAGAGCCTTTTTTTATGATAGTGTCTTATTTATGAATATAAAAAATAGCCTGACAGATTGAGTTTTGGGGGCACAATTAATTTCTAAAAGTGCTACCCACATATTTATTATCTTTGCAATATCATCAAAGGACACATTTAACTTGTGCAGAATGTAAAGTTACTGAGCTCTGTTACTAATATATTGAAATAGACTCAGATGAGGTAAGATAAGAAACTTGTTATCAGAAAACAGTTTCTATTACCTCTTTAAGTGCCTGACCTAGGTGGTCTCCAAGGAAGACTTCATTAGTTTTGATAGTGAAATTCAGCCTCACTTAAGCCAAACTTCAAGTAATCTTATATCTTAGTGATAATGTTCATCTACCAACACTGTAGAAGAAATTTTTTTATTATGAGTTACACAGTGAATAAATACTCCATGTAGAGTCTTGTTGTTTTTTGTTGTTATTTATTATTATGGCTGATACATGGAGTGATCAAATATAGATTTGATTCAGAACCCTGGTTTTAATATATTTATTCAAATAAATTGTTTGTTTATTTTGCCAGGTGAAATAAAGAACTATACAAAAACAGTCAGATGACTAGAGAAGTAGTTGAAAGATTTCTTAAAGCTCCCTCAATCTTTTTATCTAGGCAATCCTTAGGTGTCACATGGCCCTCTAGTGGAAGGGATGCTCAGCTGGACCGAGGCAACTGCAGAATATTCTCTGGGAGTTGTTACCCAAAGGGATTGCTTTTATTCAGGTAATCTTTATAGTTTGGATTAATTAGCTGGTTCTAATAAATTAGGTTATGGAATTTTGGAATAGGAAAGGAAATATTTTATAGTAAATAGCCCTTTTTGTAGCAGATTCAGCTAGATTAGCCCATTCCCTATTAAAAACCATTGAAACTGTTATTAAAGGGCTGTTTGGGCTTTTTGTTTTGTCTTATTGTTTTGTTATAGTTGTTGCTATTGGTGGTGGTAGTATGTTTTATTTTGTTTGTTACTTTTATTTTAAAATGAAAAAATACATAAAATGTATTCCAGTCTTTATATAAGGAATCATCCCCTATAAGTCAGGTACCCCAAGGCTCCTTATTAATTTTTTTCTTCATGTAATTTTTGTGAAATAAAATTTCAGTGTTTTCTTTTTCTATGTAATTCTGAATTCCTGAAATTTTGACAAACATTTAAATTTTTTCACTTTTTAAATTTAAAGTAGTGTTAAACTACAGAACATTTAATAGACATGTAGGTGTCTGATCGATTTGAGAAAAGGAAAGATAAAATTTTACATCAGTAAAGGCAAAAAGAAGCCTAGAATTAAAAATACTTATTTCTTATTTCTCACTTCCTTTAGTATATTTTAATCCTGTTCACTTATGACATTCTTTTTCTTGGGCTTAAAGAAAGTTGCTCAATGTAAACTTCACTATTTTCTGCTGTTTCTCATGTTTCTTTGGAAATTTCTGCATAGGTGAATGAATTTGAGATAGGCTAAGAATGTCATTGTGATAGAGGGAGTAGTAGAAGTTGACTTTTCTTTGTCTTATTATCTTCTTAAGACTCTTGTCATCACGGAAATGATACAGAAATTTCTAGCATTCATATTATAGGAAGATGTTTTTATAGGAATAACTCAAAATCTGTAAAGAGTATGAATGAAAATAAACTTAGTGGTATCCTCTGATCCAGCAAGTATTAAAATACTTACTTTTTGATTTGCTCTCATATGAATCAAAATTCAAGCAAAAATAGAAAATAGAGAATATGAGTAAATACGTTTTCTAAATTTTTTAATGGGAAAATATAACAAGAAAAATGTAATGATTTAGATTATTTGAAGAAATGATACTTTGTCTAATGTCAGTGAATTGATATTACAGTCTTTATTTTATAGAGATGTTTAGCTACAATAGTCTGCCTTTTATTTTAAAGGTGAATGTCTTCTACTTATATTATCAGGGTGAATCAGCACTTGATTTGGCAAAGCAGAGAAAAAATGTGTGGATGATCAACCATTTGCAAGAGGCAAGGCAAGCAAAAGGATATGACAACCCATCTTTCCTTAGAAAGCTCAAAGCTGATAAGGTAAACCTATGACTGAAGATTTTCAGTGTACAGGCAGACCCAGGGTTATGAATGTCTGATTTATTGATAGTGTTTGATCCTATTGTGTCCTTTAAACTAATTCTGTTATGGCAAAATAGTATCAAACCTCAAGGTTTTACGATTTGGGGTATTTGGCATAGGTAAATTATATGTTGAAGCCCTGAAATGAGAGACTTGGAAAAGATATTATTAAGTCCTTTCAGCAGCCTGATGCATGAGTTTGGGTTATTGACAGGACTAAGAATCGGGCTGCGAACCTTAAGGTCAGCAGTTCGAAACTACCAGCCGCTCCGCGGGAGAAAGATGAGGCTTTCTACTCCCGTAAAGATTTACACCCTCGGAAACCCTGTACAGGGTCGCTATGGGTCGGAACCGACTCGACGGCACTTAACAACAACAACAACAATAGAAGAGTGACACAAATTTATTTAAACCATTATGATTGGCTGCCATCTTTTAGCAGGTCACCTCCATCTTTGAGTAGGGCAGCACTACTTCGGACTGGTCAGAATCTGAGGGCAAGGGATTTGGTTGTTATGCACCATTTTGCAAGAGGGAGATTTAGTTTCTATCAAGGCTTCCATCCTTAATTTTTTCCATTTTAGGAATCTTTCCAATTTGCCATTTGTATTTACAATTCTGTGACACCAATTAGACTGATCAGATTTTGAAACCATCATCAGTATCAGTGTGAAATTTTTCATCACCATAAATATATATAATCAGTATAATAGATTGATGAGGGGAATTCAGAGAGATCATGGAAATATTGAATTAAAAGATAATGTAATATTTCTAGGAAATTTTTGAAGCCCCTCTTATGATAATTTAAAATAAGCTTCATAACCATACATAAGCTCTGAGATTAAGTGTTTGTAATTATGTAGCTTGTGCATTGATAGTTATTTCATTTTAGAAAATTTAGATTGTGAGTGTGACTTGGTTTTCTAGCTTATCAAGTATGTTCTGTATTTAAAATTAAACAATAAAAAGAATAAACTCTAGGACTCGCATTATTTCACTTAAGAACAAATTATTCAAAACAGAAGGAAAAAGTGGACCATGGTAGTAGACAGATATGGAGGACATCATGATTTTATAAAACTGTTTTAAAGGCTCTCTGATTTTTGTTGTTCTTGTTGGCTCTGATTTTTAAGGTGTTTAGAAGATATTAGACAGGCAGATTTAAGTTTAAGTAAGTGTTAGTTACTTGGATAATAGCTATTTTAGAGATATGTTTCTAAATTAGTATTTTCTCAGTAGAAACCAATGATTTCTTTTGTTAACAGTAAAAATCTTACCTTTTATTCTTTTTAATGTTATTTTTTAAACTATATAAAAATAGATAGGAAGATGAAGTAAGCATACTTTCCCTGTTTATCCTAATTAGTGCAACTAAAACTTGTTGTTGTTGTCGTTAAGTGCCGTGGAGTCGGTTCCGACTTATAGTGACCCTGCACAGGGTTTCCGAGAGCAACTAAAACTACTGGGCATTATATAAAAAACAAATACAAGAAGACTAAAAGATGGAGAAACGGGAGCTTGGAATGTGAAGAATGACACGATGTTGAATTTCCTGGGTTTTTAGTTTGTTTTTTGTTGTTGTTGTTTTGCTTCATGTATCCCTGACTATGAACTGGTGAAGCAAGCAACCATAAAATAAAAGTTGCCATCTAGTTCAGTCCGGTTTACTGGGGAATCCCATGTACTACAGAGTAAAATTGTTTTACATGTACTGTCGAGCAAAAGAACCACAAAAGAGGCAACTTAACAAGTCATATAACTTTTAGAAAGTAACACTTATACTTATCTACTCTATTATGGACTCTTGGTGTGGCGCTATAAGATCAGCAAAACACAAGGTTGGCAGTTCAAACCCACCACCTGCTCCTCAGAAACCCTGTACAGGGTTGCTATGATTTGGAAGTTACTAGGTGACACTTAACAACAGCAACAACTGTACTATAGCAAAATTTCGAGGGAAAAAAATGGCCTCACCCACACAAGCAAAGGACCAGTGGTGAGCTTAGATTTTTCCCTCTCACTGGGCTCTGATGAGGCTCATGTCTTCTGCTGGGGTAAAGTCAGAAAAGGCTAAGGGACTTTCATCCCTACTGGTTGGATTTAATGAGATCCCACTCATGGCTTTATCAGTGGAGACCACACATGGAGTAATAAGGAGGTATCCTTATGCCTCAGTATTAGCAGACACAGAATGTAGACCAGACCTAAAATCCAACACTTGTCCAACAACATTGAGGGGCCAATAGTTGAGGCCAAGTAGAGAATTCTGGACTTTTGGTCCACTTGACAGTAATAAAGAGGTGTCCCCCGCCTCTGTAAGTGGTAACAGAGGAACCCATCTAAAAGTGAATGTTTATATAAGATACATATAATACCCAAAATGCCCATGTTTCAGTTTAAAAAAATAATTTATCATACTGAGAACTAGAAAGATCTTAAAATAAATGAAAACATAATCTTAAATGTCAATGCTCTGATAACAAACATGTTAGAATTTTATGACAAAGATTTTAAAGTAACTATAGTAATAATAAAAAAGGAGCTCTGGTAGCATAGTGGTTACAAATCGGGATGCTTAACCTCATGGTCAGCAGTTCTAAATTACCAGCTGTTTTGTGTGAGAAAGATGAGGCTTTCTGCTCCTGTAAAGATTTACCGCCTCAGAAACCCTGTACAGGGTTCGCTATCAGTCAGCACCTACTCCATGGCACATAACCACCACCACAAAAATAATAATAGAGTCCTGGTGTGACGCTATAGGATACGCATTAAACCGCAAGGTTGGTTTGAACAACAAGGTTGGTGGTTGAAACTCACCAGCCACTCCTTAGAAACCCTATACAGGGTTGCTATGAGTCTGAACCAACTCAACAGCATTTAACAAACAATAATAAAAGTGCTTCAGTGTGCAATTATGAATATGCTTGAAACAAATGAAAAATACACTGTCTGTAAGAAAATAATTTCAAATATAACACTACAGGCAAGTTGGATATAACAGAATGGAAAGAGATTCATGTTAACCTGAAACCAAAATCAGACACAAACAATTAAAAAATAAAGCAAAACAGAAAAACTTTCTACCAATGTTACCCATAAACACTCAATGAAAAATCTCAAGAAAACCAAAGAGGATTTTCATTAAAAAAAAAAAAAAAACAACCTCTTAAAGAGACACTGTGCACCCTGATTATCATGAATGCAAACATATGGGCTATAAATGTATCATATCACTCTTGCTTTTCCTATGTTAATGTTATATTTAGGTTTTATGTGTTACTTGGTTGGTATGATTTGATAGTTAATTTTCTCATCGGAGATACCCCCAAAATTTCCCCATATAAATTAATGTTAATTGTTCTTCATTTAACACCATTTTAGTTTATGAAAGATTTCATACTAATGCTTACTTTTCAATGTCAGGAGAAACCTGTTGATCAGAAAGAAATATATAGACTGCCCCTATTTGTCTTGATTATCTACATAGAGAATCCCAAGGAACCTATCCAATGCGTCTTCCCCTTCCCCACCTAGAATTAATCAATGAGGTCAGTAGGTCACAGAATATAAGGTAGACATACAGAAATCAATTTCATTTTTATATACTTGCAAGGAACATATGAACACTAAAATTAGAAATACGGTGCCACTGAAAATGACCAAAACAACAAAAACCCACCACAGTAAGAAATGTTGTTGTTACGTGCCAGTAACACAGTGACTTTATAAATGCACAGCAGAACGAAACACTGCCCAGTCCTGCGGCATCCTGACGATTGTTATTTATTTAGGCATGAACCCTTTGCTGCTGCCTCTGGGTCAATCCATCTTGATGGGGTCTTCCTCTTTTTCACTGACCTTCTCCTTTACCAAGCATAATGTCCTTCTCCTTCTGATAGCATGTCCAAAATATAAAAGATGAAGTCTCCCAATCCTGGCTTCCAAGGATTATTCTGGCTGTGCTTCATCCTATACAGATTTGTATGTTTTTCTGGCAGTCTGTCGTATTTTCAGTATTCTTCTCCAACACCATAACTCAAATGCATCAATTCTTCTGTGGTCTTCCTTATTTTCCAGCTTTCACATACATATGAGGCTCTTGAAAATACCATAGATTGGATTGTTGTTATGTTGTTGTTAAGTGCCATCGAGTCAGTTCCGACTCATAGCAACCCTGTACATGGTTATTGCTGCTGTTGTTGTTGTTGTTGTTAAGTGCTGTGGAGTCGGTTCCGACTCATAGCGACCCTGCACTGGGTTTCCGAGGCTGTAAATCTTTACAGGAGCAGAACGCCTCATCTTTCTCCCGCGGAACAGCTGGTAGTTTCGAACTGCTGACCTTACAGTTCACAGCCCGATTCGTAACCACTACGCTACCAGAGCTCAAAAATGTCTTCAAACTGACTTCTTTGATGTTTACATTTTAAGAGGTCTTGTGCAGCAGGTTTGCCCAGTGCAATATGTGGTTGATTTCTTAACTGCAGCTTCCATGAGTGTTGATGGTGTATCCAAGCAAAATGAAGTCTTTGACAACTTCAATCTTTTCTCTATTTATCATGATACATTATTTATTTGTCTAGTTGTGAGGATTTTTGTTTTGTTTAGTTTCAGGTACAATTCATAGTTTTTTATCTTCTTTAGTGAGTATTTTAAGTCCTCTTCGTTTCCAACTAGCAAGGTTGAGCTTTTATCCAATCCTGATGCCATCTTCTTCATATAATCCAGATTCTCAGATTATTTGTTCAACATACAAATTGAATGAGTATGGTGAAAGAATATAGCCTTGGCATGATTTAAAACCATTCAGTTTCCCTTTGTTCTGTTATAATAACTGCCTCTTTCTCTTTGTCTGTGTACAGGTTCCTCCTAAGCACAAATTAATTTTTTTGGAATACCCATTCTTTACATTGTTATCATAGCTTGTAATGATCCACATAGTCAAAAACCTTTACATA